AGCTGGTAGAACATCATCTATTCCTGTCGATAGAAAGTACAGCAATCGGGCAGAGCTTGTTGATCCAACCCTCCCCCCTTGCTTTGAGAGAGGAGTTTAACCGGGATTCCAGGTGTGCAAGTAGATGGGTTCGCAAGCTGAACTGCAACATGTACAGCCTCTCGACTCATGCCCAGAGGAGAGTGAAGGTTTCGATTCTGAGACACATATATGAAGATCGTGTGTGTGCGTTTCAATGTTAGATGCCATGGCGCTCTCCAGGACCGATGTATTTGGTATTGGCCGTTAGACGCAATAAATGAGGCCGAAGTAGACTGCTCGCCCAAGTTAGCGGAGACAGTCAGTCTTCTTGTGTGCGCTACATTCGGCGTTGAAGTGGAGACTGCTCCATCGGGCCGGGTTTGTTCGTACATCTTGGCTGCAGTGATACTGGGCAATAGAGTGTGGCACGGGCCGAATGCTGGAGAACTTCTATGACCGTGGACGGCTGGGCAAAGTATTGGTCCTGATCATTGGTATCTTGCAATCATGCTTCTTCAGTTTTAGTCATGGGCGCATTCCGCAGACACTTCTCCATCTCGGCCAAAGACTTAGCAAAACGGTCCATCTGACCTCTCCGTTGACTGGAGTGTCACAAAGGTTACCTTTCTTCGAAGCGGCTTCAAAACACACAGCCTTTTTAGAGACTATTTTGTTTGAACCGGGATTTGGAAGATCTGGTCAAGTACCTCAGTCTTTTGCTGTCGTACAAAAGCCCATATTGAGAGATGAGCTATGAGTTCACGCTTTCTTGTCCTTCCTTAAAGGATACTTTGTCGGTGATTTCCCGACACATATCTGCCGTTTGATTGATTGACAGTAAAGACCGCAGATCCTTAGTCAACAGCACAGTAGATCCAGACACCATCCCGCCAGCGAGGGAGTCCTTAAGGCGCGGAGTGCGCTTGTCGTCAAGACAAAATGCGGATGATTTCGTGCGGGCGCATGAGAGAGTTGAGCTCTAGTGGCCGGCAGTCCTTACAGCCACCGACCACCCCGCAAAGCCCGCAGGGGCCATTGCCATGGCGCTGATATTTCCCCCAATACCTGGATGGGAATAGTGTGATCCCATTCAGAGAAGATAGGGTAAATGTAACTCCACAGTGGACTTCTGTTCCGCCGTGTGCGTGTCTATTGTGCTTTCCTTGGAACGCCAAAGATCTTCTGGCTTACCAGTCTTTTCTTCGATTGGAACTCAACTCCACTCAGTCGAAGGCGTAGCTTTCATTCTCCCATCTGGAAAGAATCGTACCAAGTGATTCGGCCAGCGCGGTCGGTCGATTGGCAACTTGTACACCTTGGCTTGCTAGTGGGGCGCAGTGGTTCCAGGAGAAAAGCACCCATAGACAATGCAGTCCTGCTAATAATCCATAGCTCTTGAATTAGCTTCTCTAGGCGATGCCACGTTCCGTGGAATCATCAAGGAAAGGTGCGGTCTGCAGCTGGCGGCCATCAACCGAGCCTTTGCCTGCATTTAAGGCCATCAGCAGGTGCTGAGCAATTGTTTCTGAGGAGCTCAATCTGAGGAAATCAAAGTCCTGAAGCTGGCAGCTCGGTCGTATCCTTCTCCGTATTATCATCTTATATATCTTGGTCATTGGGTAGACATTTGTCTAGAGAAATGAGCTGTCAGTGGTAATAGTAAGAACCCACTTCTATTGTCCTTGACAAGTTCTCTGAAATTTCCCGCCATTGCGTTCTTCTCAGCCTCCGTCTTTGGGTTTGTAGGTCTTGCGACATTTGGCTTTCTTTAGGATTGACGGCTTTTGACTGTATCCAAGTCTCCTTGAATTATGGGATTTCAGCTGGAGTTTTTGGTCTTTCTGTGCAGGTGAAGATTGACTGCGGATGCAATTATACATCAGTGGGTTCAGTTTGAGTTAGTGGAACGAACGATCCGTTCATTCAACGTAAGGTCATGATGTCCAGAAAGCAAATTCCCGGGTTGTCCAGCAGCAGCCAAACCAGTCAACGAATGGCCACATGAAGTGGCCAACACCATGGCTTTGAAGGATTGAATAGGATTTTATCTCATGGGGATATCCAAGGGGGCCACAACATGAGGTGAACGGATTTCAGGAGCAGACACCTCTGGACGATCACAGTACGGAGCCCAGTACCTTGGGAGCATGTGGGTTCAGGAGACAGTTCTGTGATCAGAGACATGTAACTTCCCTTGAAGCAAGCAGCCCTGAATTTGACCGATATCACTTTCGTCCCACTTACACCGTGAAGCCGGTGATGTCTACACTTCATCATCTAGTGCAGTCGGACATTATTAGAAGCCCATGGTGTGCCTCACGCCGGCTGTTATGGGATGCTTTCTTTCCATGGAGACAACCTGGAGAACCTCTTACCCAGGTTGTGGAGGCGTGTTGAAATTAACGCGATGTTGGAATCACTCCACCAGATTTCTGTTTCAGTGAGGGTCATGAGCTCCGCGTTTTTGTCTTGGAAGGTGGGGTAGGACGTGGCCGACATAAACCAGACCGCATAGTTGCTGTTGTGTCCAGACAGACAATCACTCCTTGCGATCGTTCCCAGCTGTTCAGGTTATCGGAACGCACTGGCCATGATAGGAAGGCTTGGATTGTCGAATGGGTTTGCGAAAGAGGAAGAGCCCAAAGTGATCCCGTGATCACGAGCAAGTATACTAGTTGGATCAAGTAGCTTTCTCCGCGATCTGGAGCTTCGTAATATGTTTCTTAAGCAATCCAGAAAGTATCTTATGGCTGTTTTCAGCACTGGATAAGTCCGATATGACCAGACATATGGCATGGTGCCTCTTCTCGATAATTATCCTGTCTGTTTCTTGAATTTTCCTGCTCTTGTGGGAAATTCTTCGGCCGAAACAGGGACAAGCTGCTTGGCGAGATTGGAAGGACATTACTGACGATGAAGAGCTGCTATATAACTTGTTAGCCAGGTCCACGGTGTCCATGGGGCTTCTGTGTACTCACCTGAGACTGTTCTGCGTCTCGAACTGTGTAGGCCATTCCATTAGTTTTCGATGTGGAAGTGTTCATCATGTGCCAAAGGGTAACATCAAAGGCTACCAATTCTAAAATATATAGTGCTGCGCTTCCTCATGCGAGTCAAGTATGGCGTGCACATCATCGCTTTTGTAGTCTGTGGATAGACTGCTTCGTCAATGTAACCAAAGAAAGCATGTATAAGTCCATGATGCCTTCTGTTTTGTCCTCTTCTTCTCTTGTGGCTTGCCTTAAGGGTCGACGCGTCACGCAATAGTAAAAGCATGTCCGCCAACATGCTGGAGACAGTGATACCATAGGACCTGCTGGGACTGCAAGGCTAGAAATAATATATGGCACGTTCGGTCATGGGTCAAATGATGAGCTCAACGACAGAGACTCCAAGAACATAAGACATAATAGCGGTAAGTTGTTATAACGTTCGGAACCATTGGTGGCTCGGTCCATAGAAAGAAAGCCGTCACTGGTATATGAGGCACTAATCAGCACCTCAACCACGCGTCGGTCCGCTGAGCAATATATCAGAGAGCATGTAGGATATAATATGTTTTACCGTAACGATTCTAGGGGATCATCAGATCCGCCCTTTTATCTTGGAAGGAAAACCAGCGTGCCTTAAGCTGGTTATCTCGCCAGTCTGCGCTCTTCTCTAATCAAAAGTGGTTATTAGCTGTCACCGAAAATCATATCAGAGGAATGACATACGTAAGGTGACATGTCCATTACAGTAAAGTCCTGACTGGGTTATAGCGTCGCATGCGATATTCATCCTGCATGCACTGTCAAGCCCTTATGTACGGCTTGCTCAGGCCACGAGAGGAAGGACACGGTTCCACCAAGTACAGTGGCAGCTAGAGGAGCGCGACTGACAATCTTCCGTCGAGAAGCAGACAATCGTCCTCGAGTATGAGATTTTTGTATCATGCCGTACGACACGTTTGGAACTGCTCAGGTCGACATCTCGAAATGCTCGACGAAAGGCCTCTCTATCAATTTTATTATGAGTCCCAAAGTCCCAAGTGTATGTGTCATTAGATCTTGTTACCTTTTCTCAGTAATGAGCGCAAGCTTAGCAGTAAGCTGTAGGCTCTATGGCCCCATTTGACGAGTCTCTGTATGAGAATGCCACTGTGCCCATAAGTTGGACTATGTTGCTTTACTTTTCAGTCCCCGGTGAGCGTATGTATCACCACTGAGGACTCTGGGATGACTCGTGCAATGACAGGTCCTCATGCTATGTCAGAAAGGTTTCGCCTCTCGACATGAAGAGAGTACCGCAAGGAAGAGATGAAGTCAATTAATAGCAAAGTATGCTTGAGGCATGCTAGCCATCTTATGTCTAAGACGAATACTTATGTAAGGTAGGAATGAGCTTGACTGATGATGTACTGAGAGAGAAGAGAGGTGATGCAGAGGAGAGGTAGAGGAGGAGAGAAGGAACACGGCCAGGAATTTATAGCCAATTTTGAATTCAGTTTCCGTGGGAGTCACCGTATGGATGACCCGCCGTGTGAATTTTCTCATTACTTAGAGACGGGAAGTTCCCATTAGACGAGTCAGCGTGAATCGTAGAATGCTGTGTGCGTCACTTAGGAGGTCTCTATCACGGGTGGTTTTAGCGCCGTATGGATACCAATTCACGAATCCTAGCCGCCTAGATGCACCACAGAGAATGCTGTCAGTGAAAACATTGTTAAAAGACTCAGAAGACTTCCCAGGACTGAACATTGTCAGGACTTTTGGTATCAAATTCTAACAGTACGCTAATGCTTCTTGTATGGTATGCGCATAGATCTAGGCACTTCACTGCATCGATGCAGCGCCATCACAGGATCCCTGAGATTGAAGAAATCCATATAAACAGGACTTCAGTATATCTGTGTGAATCCATACCATGCACTCAACAATAACCATCTGCAATAACCCGAGGACGTGAAGTGCTGGCTTTCACATAAGACATCAATCTTGTCAAGGCTTGCTGAATTCACGTTCTATTGCTTCCACCATCTCGTCTACTATGGTCAGCTTCATTCAACACAAGGTGAAGTACGTATACGTACCTCGCATTCCTTGAATTGCCTCAAAGGCAATTGCATGATTCGCCAGGAACTTCGCTACTACTCGCAGGCTCTGTTCCAACTCATTCCTCAGTCCTGCCAATGGAAAATCACCTACGTTCGAATCCGGCACCTTTGTAACGAAAGGCCTTGTTTTGCAACTCAGAGTCAGCATCGTATAGCCCGCCTGCATGGCGCAACTGATCAAAGTGGGCATGGCTCGGGGAACCTCATAGTTCTGGAATATGTACGGTAAATTGGTCGGAGAATCATCATTGGTTGGGTTAGGAAATGGAAGACTGTCCATTAAAGTTACAACGTTTATGGCTGCATGGACACAGATCACTGAGGATGTGTGCGATGAGAAGGGGAACTGGATGCCAAATTGTTGCATCGAAGCGGGACGCTGCAGCAAGGTCGTATCACTGGATGCTCGACCTCCATTGATGCTTTCGTTGGCACACGAGACTGGATGCAGACCAGGCTGTTCAGAGAACATGGGCACATCTTGAAAGGCACAGTAGCGGTGCAATTTGATCCGAGCGCTACACAGTCAGTCCGCCACTGCAGACAATAACAAACCTGGATACTCACCTGTGCAATTTAATCTCAGCATACGATCTCAAAGCGCTTGCGGCCACCGATTCGACACAGTTTGGCTGGGGGCCCTGGGATGCCGACAGTTTATCTCGGCACTCGAATAGCAGTGAGGTAATCTGAGTATCAAGCTCGGACATCCGCTTTTGAATCCATGACACATCCTCTCGGCGCCGTATAGCCTCGTCAAGTTCGACGGCAAAGATACCAGCTTCATATAAAGCTTGTTGGGCTTCAACACGGAGCCTCCAGTCCTAGAAGGCATAAGCGTGGGTTCCTCGAATTAGGGGGAAACACACCTTTGGATATGGAGTCACAAATGAAGGATCGTACACGTCAAACGAAGCCGGCTGTACAAGATTGGTCAGATATCCTCCTTGCTGCCAGATGTAGCACTCACCATGCCAGTCACCGTTGCCATATGACTTGCGGCCATATACTACGAAATTAGCACTGTGTGGTTGAAACAGGGCTAACGAAACCAACCACAAACCACCATGACCTGCGCCGGGCCAAGGCATACTCATTTTCCTCCAGGGACTCATGCAGTCCTAGCATAAAGGCCATTTCCAAAGCCTCATTCGCTAACCTTGCCGTGTTATCCAGATTCCCTTGCTGGCCATACTCATAGAAGCACAGGATAGATAGTGCAATAACTCCTTCCAGGCACACAGGGAGTTTGGGGTGAAACGGTGGCCGACCGATGGAATCCCGCAAAGAGCCTTCAAACCCACCGGGGGCCCGTAGCGGCTGGTAATCCCGAGCAATCACCGCATACGCGGCTTCGGCAAATCGCAGTGAAACCTCTCTTCGGATGGTGACATATTCTGGTCTGGCAGGATATTTCACATCTTTATGGGGGACCAGCGCCACCATCGCCGAGATGGCTAGCGCGAGAGGACTTGCCGGCTTGAACTCATCCGGATGGTCCACCCTAACTGGATTGTGGGTAACAGGCAAACGATCAGGCGGGGGAAGGATGGGATAGTATGGATGTATGAAAATGTAGTATGCATCCAATCTGCAACGTGTCAGCGGGATTCGATGCCGTATCACTATGGCCTCCCCGCTTACATGTCCTCATTGCTGCCGTATAGCTGGACCGTGTTGACGGACTGAGCGGACTGCAAATCCCGAATGGTTTCGACTGGGTTTCGGGGGAAAACAGAGTCAAACATGGACTCTATTTCCGCCATTGGAGTTCCAACGTTGCGCAGGGTAGCGCTGGGGCCACATAGTTTAGCCAGTTTCTGCATCCATTCTAGACTCGGCAGTTAGCAACCGTTGATCAGCAGGACTCGTGAGTAAGGGGAGAAGATGTAGAAGGCGTCAGGAAGTATACCATTCCCATCGAGAATCGATGCTGTCCCGGCAGAGGGGGATCCTTTGGTTGAGGGCCCATCCTGAGCCGAGTGCGGATCTGACATGGCCTTGGCATCTAGTATGCGCGGGCCGGGAGTGACTGGGGTTGATGCTGTCGTCTTAGCACGGAATATATAGATACTGGAAGGATTCCTGACGAAGGGGCCAAAACACCGTTTGAGACCCGAGCCATAGAAACGGAAGCGCCCCCCACGGCTGTCAAAGCAAAGATCAGTCAGGTTTTCCGTCCGAACTACTGCAGCACCTCCCCGGATAATCCCTGAACCCGATCGGTCCGTCCAGTCGTTGGACAGGGGGGGAGGGTGAGCAGTAGCACCAAGAGTACTGACAGGACGACTAGTATTCCCTAGTCTCTCCATCCATCTTCCAGCACCTACCCAGCATTGTGGCCCGATTGGGTCGAGGTTTCCATCAGATCCCGTTCCAGACGCCGTCGTCGCCCGGCTTCTGCTGGTTTTGTCGTGACTGTCATCGCTCCCCCATTGTCAAGACAGTATTGCACACAGAATAATTAGGGAGATGCGGAAAGGAAAGAAAACACATGTCCCGGCCAGCAGTTCGAAAAATCTTTATATGGTGGTCATCAGGCAGTTCAAATCCCGACAGGCGGGCTAACGCCGCGGAGAAAGGCAAAATTCGGGGATAGACAGTTTGGAGGTGGGATTTGCTTTGCTTCATGACGAACGAGAGCTGCGCCCTTGCAACAATCATCTTGGCAACAACCGGTACAGCCAGACCCGTGGTTGCTTACTTGGCAGTAGGTCGGATTACTGGGTATCGGGAATGGGTGACACTCCGTTGGCGCTACTAGTAGTAGTAATACTTAGTACTTGCAGTAGATACAACAGCTGATAGATGGAAGGAGATTCCAGAGTTCTCGGGGGGGAAAGAGTGGAGGGAACGGAGACTGTAGCCGGTGATTGAACCAAAGGTTGTACCTGATCAGGCCTGGCGGTGGGGAACAAACAGCCCGGCCAGACCCCGGGCGGCTGGCTTCATTCTGCCTTCTTCTGCCTCTTCTTTGGGGGTTTTCCATGTCGCTTCGGCCGAAGCTGCAGGTTGGGACCCACAATTATGGAACACGGACAGCCCCTCTCTTACCATCTCTTCTACCACTACTGCCACTACTGAGCTGACTAGATAATTCTAGTCTCTAGTCTCATCACCATTCGGTCAATTTCCTCCATTCTCCTGCATCCATTGACTTCCTCACTCCTTCGACTCTGCAATACATAATCCTTCTGCAGGTCCATTCGGCATTGAACCCCCTGTCTAATTCAGTCCTATCCTATCCTGACCATCTTCTCGAACCCGATCGTCATCATCTCGATAATACACCACCTTGTCCTTCCCCACACACGCGCTTGCTGCCGCTAGACGAGCCGCCTGCAGACCATTGTTCCAAGCGAGCGACACCTCATGCAGCTGAATGGGGATCGTTCGTCTACTGACGTTGAATGTCACAGCGATGTCCAGACGGAGCGATCAGAAAATAGTTTTCCGGTTTCATGCTTTTCCGCGTCGTGCCCGACGCCAGTCGCACCCCTCGACACTCACGGAAGAACTCGGTTGCTGCTAAGCGAAGTTCCATCCAGGCGAGATGCACCCCAAGGCAGATTCGGGTGCCGTACCCAAAGGGGGAGAGACCCTGCCTGGCTGCATCGGATCCATGTCCATCCCCTCCTAACCAGCGACTGACATCAAAGGTTTCGGGATCTGGGTAAAGTCCCTCATCCCGGTGCATGGTGTAACTCTGCGTGCTTACCGTCGTTCCTTGAGGAATCTGGTATCCGCAAAAGGTCGCTCCGCCATTCGGCACGCCCCGAGGCAAGGAGCCTGGGGCTGCTCCATAGAGCCGTAGGGTCTCCGTGATGACGGCATTGAGGAGCGGCAGTTCCTCCAACGCAGCTTCATTATAATTCGGATCCAGCGCACTGACCTCTTCTTCCAGATCGTGCTGGAGCTTCGGCTGCGACAGCACAGCCCATACCAGGTAAGTCAGCGTGACAGCAGTAGTATCGGAGCCAGCCACGATCAGATTGCCCGCTTCAATCACCACGTCCTCCTCAGAAAGCGTGCTGCTCGTCTTCTCCGATTCATTGACTATTCCGGTGAAAATATTCCGCGTGGAGTTGCTATTCGCTCGACTATTTGACACCGCTCGCCTTCCATATTCAGTAAGATAGTCGCTGGGGCGAAACATCTCCTGGAAGGACGCAAGTGGGACATATCGGCCAATGAGTGCCACAAGGGGAAGCTCTACGTTGATTCCCGAACCCATCATGGTGGACTCCAAAATATTGATATATTTGTTTTTCTTCTAACCATTAGCCGAGTCTGTCATGCAGCGATGGGCACCTTAATAACTCACCTTTCCATACTGCAGCATTTCAAATGATTCACCGAACATCAAATGTCCGCTGACATCAGTGGCGAGAAACGTCCACCACTTCAGAACATCGGATGTTCCATCCCGCAGCAATTCACAGCGAATCCGAGACACTGCTAACTGGACTTTTTCCCTTACTACGGGCTCCCATGTTTGTCTTAATTCGGATTTGGAGAATGCACGCGCAAACAACTTCCTACGCGCAGCATGTTCCTTGGGATCCCGCATAGTAAAGACTCCCGGATTTCGGTCCCAGGAGAACTTTTGATACCATGGGGTCTTCAGGAAGGCCGACCCGACACGATGGATCTCTTTGAACTCGGGCTGTGAGGAAATAGAAACCTCGTCCGGAGCAATACGCACTACGGGGCCATATTTCTGGTGCAGATCGTGGATGAAGTAGATGCGCTTTCCCGTAACGATCGATAACTTTAGCGGCAACCTCGTTACTCTTGTGTACAGAGGTCCCGGTATGTGACGAAGGGGAGATCTGAGGAACTTGTAAGTAATCTATACCATTAGTCAGTAACTACCTCATCCTACAGAGGATATGCTACGCTACAGACATGCATACCTACAAAACCCAGATCGCCACCACAGTCACAACGCACAATACAACATGTTGCTCCATGTCAGAATTGAGTCAGTACAACAGTTGTTCGGAGCAATGGAATGGAATTATTGCCATAAACAAAGAAAAGAAAAGAAAATCATCAAGAATCTACCAATTTTATATGTACTTCATCCCGGTCACGCCTTTGAGTCATGAACGCAGGCTCCTCATTTGCTGTTCGGAGCCCGGCTCCACCCCCGCTCTCCACACGCGGCTATTCTGCTCGAAATACCATCCAGTCCCCCCCTGTTTCCCAAATCCAAAAGTACGATCAGAGACTTTGCTCAACCCCTGTCCTTTTTTACAACTATGACACAACGTTTAATCAGTTAGGAATTTGCCACCGCCAGCTCCATAGCGATAAGATGATGCGTTTACGGCAAGACAATGCAATCTCGCATGCCAAGCATGAAGCATTGTCCTACACAACCGCAAGACTAATAGTATAGGGGGCAGATTTTACAACTTATAGTCTCGAGTGATCTTGCTCGGAGAAGTAAATTGAGGTATGACTGGGTTTAAATTTCTGGTAATGCATTATACTGTGTAGCAGCATAAATGCTCCAATAAACATCTCGCTCGCACCGCAGCCATCCACGTCGCCATCACATCCAGACGGTCACATCAGAACATAAGCGAGACTTAGAAATTCATTTTTCAATCTCAAGTACTCCCCGAACTATATAAACATGAATGGGCTTACAAGCAAATTAGAAACAACTCGCTGGCCAAGAAAGTAAACATGGCAGCCGACCAGCGAGCGACTTCCTACCAGTCATTCCCGCATACCCAGAAACCAAATCTAACTAACCACTTCTTTACATTTACCGCATGATCCCGATTAACCCATTATGGATATGTCATCGTAACTATCCCATTTCCTTTTCTGATAACAAGTGAATACAAATGGATTTCACCCTCTGCATACGCGTTGTAGACCAACCCGAAACGATCAAACTTTCTGTTTCTGTACTTCGATAACTATTCCTAGATATCACACTGACTGACTAGTCATGGTTTTCTTTTGTCATCATAGTATATAGTCTTATTAGAACGGTATTCTTGGATCAAGGTGTAGAAATACCGGTATGGTACTTTTTTGAATGAGAACGAAGAAAGTCATGTATAAATAGGGAAGGGGAGGCAAGAGAATGGAAAGCTCACAACTCTCCGAAGATGGAATTTTATCATAACCAAAAGAACTTTTATTGATTCCGCAGTGCAACACGTCTGCTAATTTGAACCCAATTCAGGACAAAAACAGAAGAAGCAGAAGAAGAAAGTCTGGTATCATTCCTAGAGGTATTCAGAGAAAAAGAAGAAAAAGGAAAAAGGAAAAGTCTGGTGCAAGGTATATACATGTGCATAATAATGTATGCAAGATGAAAGGTAAGGATGCCATCCTCCGCGGTCCTCCGCGGAGAGGGATAGAGGTACATCTTCTGATCGAAGGATAGATTTTGGGGTCGTCAGAGAATGAAGGTGACTCTGGAATAGCCGCCACCTCAAGTATAGAATAAACCGTATATAGTAGTACAAATATAGGCGTGAGAAGTAGTATAACATAGAAAATAAGGAAGGGCATTATTTGGAAGACATGCGGTGGGCGACTATCTCCCCCACATCCGTGCTGACGAGTCATTGATTCTCCCATGGTGACGGTCTGAATCCTTGCTCGAGCGATCGCTGCTCTCTTCGACCCCATTGTCGAATGCAGGTTCAGAGGTAATCTCGATCGTCGTGTGTTGGTACACCTTGCCCATGGGGGTCAATTCCACGCCGGCAGTCTGCACGATGTTGTCGGTGGAGCCGTCGCGCACGGTTTGCTCGAGATCATCATCTTCATGATGTATGCCCTTGCGCAGAGCGCTAATGTCCGTTCGGTTCATCTTGGGGTCCGCGGTGATGGTGGTCAGATGGTTTTCTGTGGTCTTTCGGCCCTTGCTGCTGGCGAAGCGGTTGTAACTGCGATCGTGGCTGGGTTCCGATTCCAAGATCAGGTTTCGACGGGTCAGGGTGTACAGCAGGGCGTCAACCAGTCCGGAGCTGGTGATCAATGCACCGGCAACACAGAAGTAGGCTACACTTGGAGAGTTGCCTTGCGCGGTCGCCATTCGACCTGCGGCCAGAGGGAGCGAAAGCACAATGTAAGCGATCGGATAGATAACCATGTATCCGATGACGCGGCGAAGGCGCTTGAGACTTTCGATGTGACTGCTGCCCAGAATGGCGGATTGCTTGATCCGGATCCGCAGCTGGAACCACATCACTGCGTACAGACAGACCGTGCCGAATTCGGCCAAGAAAATCCAGATATAGTGAGTCCAGAGACGGATGGATTCGTAGTCTTCGCTGATCCAGCACTAGAAGCGCAAAAGTTTAGTTGTGGGCCCATTCGATGTAGGAGGATGACTTACCCAGGCACCTGATGGGATAAAGACGTAGCGGCCATGAGCAGCAAGGGGGATGATGACTAGGACGGCCACGAAGATCCAAACTCCAATGACGAAGCTGACGAAGACCCGATGGCTCATTTTCCGCCCAAGAGCGACGAGAAGGAAGGTATGAAAAGCGATCGCCATGACGAAAAGTCCACTTCCTGGATCTCCTACCTGCAGCCAGAATCCTTGGAGGAAACAACCTGCCGAGTCCGCGGATATCTTATCCTCTGCGATCCATTTGATGCATATCAGGAAGGCGAGCGCTTGCTGGAGATCGGCCAAAACGAGGTTGTAGATGAGAATGACATATTGATTATAACCGATGTACCGGGCATAGGAACCGCGCCAAAAGATGAGTCGATAGCTGATGAAACAGATCAAGGCTAGTGTCGCTATGAAGGATAGAACTGCCATGACAGAGACTGCAATAAGACCTTTGCGCTGCGTGCTGGGGAGGGGATCAATGTCCAGAGTGACACCACCCGGGCCATAGATCGTTCGGCGGAATAGGTCGCGTCCCCCTTCATCGAATGCCCCCAGGGCACTCAAGACATGTACAAGACTCATTGTTGATCGGGTGTTGTAAATCGGATGCCGGGGTAGGCTGCGGTCATTATTCTCTTCCTCAATCGGCGGAGACAGCTGCAGCTCGGCCCGGGAGATAGGACGGGGATTTTTGTAGAAGCCCCGGAAGAAAGATAGTGGGTTGGGGCGATCTAGATAATTCCTGGAGTGTCGACAAGAATGGGCAAAGTAGTGCAAGGCCGATCTGTGTTCGAGTCAGGGGTCAAGCCTTCGCACTTACTTGCCAGGACTACCCAAGAAACAGTCGAAAGGTAAAAGAAGAGGGGAAAGGGGACATTGCGCGATGGAAGTAGGAAATGGACGAGCCACACACGCACATGGAAGGCTAAACTACCGGCAACGGGGAGTGGATATGCTGTGGAGGGCCAGCCCTTTCCCATGCAAAGCTTTTCGCCAGATTAGTTTTAGATTCTGCCGCTCATGAGCCTACGAAAGTAGAAAGTGAAAACTAGGAAGTCAATCAGCGAGTCGAAGCTAGTCTACCCCATATCACGGTCTGGGCCGACGTATCCCGTGCTGGCCTATGGAAGGGAAAGCCCCCAGGGTTGCCCCTCACGGAAGTCAAAACCAGGGGGCTCTGAAGTCTGAACAGGGAAGGTCGACAAGGTCAGCAAGTACACTGACCTATAGCGGCCTAGCAGTAGATTCAAGTGGTTCCTGAAACCTTGAAGTTTGGATGGCAGACCCGGCGCCAAGCGTAGGGGACGAACGCGGTTTTTTGGTTCGGAATGTTTACTAGCGCGCTGGTACGGACTGGTTCCGGTAGCCTAAATTCGACGGTCTACACTGGGAGGTAGATGGGAGCATTGAGTTAGGGAGGATATGATCATCTTGCTTCTTGCCACAGTCTGGCAAGTTGGCAACCGGCGCAGGTGGCACAATTCGAGGATGAAACTTCAAACCACCATCGTTAGGCCGTGTAAGATTGGCCTATCAAAGGTGCAGGGTGTCAGGGGAAGAAGCATTTTAACGGGACCTCGGGTCTGCGAGAGGAGGAGCATGGAAATTGTGGGTTCGACTTGTGCCGCGGCCAAAGGAAAGCGGTCCGCGAGTCAAACTTGGACCAAACAGGAGTGGCCACTCCCCATGCAGTACCGTGGCCGCGGGTACAATAATTTCTGTCACCAGGACTCCAGTCTTTTTCGTTGTAAGCGATGTTGCACAGTGGACAAGCGACATTCAACAGCTTCGAGCAACACACCAACAGACACCAACAGAAATTTTTCGAACTCTTTGGCCACTATGGAGCGCAAATTTTCTTTCTCACTGCCATAGCGGGAAAACGCCCCAGTCGGTATCGCGTTAGCATCACCGAGAGACATAGAGCGTGCCATGCCATTGATTCCAGAAGCCTGAAGGTCCCGCTTCGCGGATCGGCTTAGAAATTGATTTAGAGGATCCACCGGGTTACTACAAGTGTAAATCATGACGCTAGATTGCTTTCTGTTTGGGTAATCGATTACCTTGAAGATAAGCAAGAGGAAATAATCACGCAGCCGAGCAATAGCAGGATCGTGACGATCGCAGACCTGGACAGAACGATTGGGTCAAGCAAGCACCCGCCTCCAGCTGCACTGGGCCTCGATCGTCCCTGAGCGGCAGTATCGGAATGCCAGATACTACAAAGTATGTATTCTGGGTCTCGCGGCTGCGATGCGGTATCTGAGTGAGGAACCATGGATTGGCAGGAGTACACGGCAGGGACCCTCTCAGTCACTGATGATACGTGTAAGGTGTAATGGCACCATGCAAATATAGAAGTGTCTCCGACTCCTTCTGAGGATGTGTGTAATTTTATCAATCGTTGTCGGTGCGGTGTTCTGCATGTGTATTCTGTTGCGGCTAACCAGCAACTTAGGGTGGAACACTAATATAAGCGGGAGGCACTAGTGTATCCGAATGAGTCTCAACTTTCAAGAGCCGTCAACACCGA